TTTATTCGTTTATTTTATGGAGGCGCTGGGGATGGAACCCCGCACCTCACGCAGGCTAGGCGAGTGCTCGCCTCTGAGCTGTCCCCCCCCCCCCCCGGCTGGCGAGGAACACGGCCATGAACTGACCAACGCTGCTCAAATCAAGATCAGAACCTGGTTCAGCAGCATCTTAGTCTGCACATGGGACCCTCCTAGCCTGTGGCTCCAAGCAGGGCTGGAGCAACGTGTGCTGCGCAGCATTTTAACGCAGCGCCTGGTGGAGTGGCCACCGAAACAGGGAGGGAGCTGGGTGGGTGGATGACGAATATCCAGCACAGATGTATACACAAACGGTAAGCCTTTACAGCACCACGATTTGTGTCACTGCATGTCTGGTCTATGCCCACGTGTGCCTGCCTGCGATGTCAGCCTCGGAGAATCAGCTCCCCAGGGCACAGTGTCGGAGTCAGCGTCCAAAACCACGCGACAGGGCGGCTTCAGAAATGTGCCCTGCTAGGGTCTCCCGGCCCCAGGCTGCACCCCCGGCCCTCCCGGCCAGGACAACAGAAGGCTCACCGGCAACTTAGTCACGTTAGCCAGTGGTTTGCGTTTGTTTCCAGCTTTTGCCTTCATTGCCGTCAAGTGATAAAAGGAGAATTCTGACATCACGAAAACTACCAAATAAGCTGAACACCACTCGACACGGGGACCGGAGGTCAGAAGTCGCTTTGTTAGCGCTCATGGCGGGAGAAAACATTCTTCCACAAGGACGGGTGTGCTTTTAAGAAGGACAAAAAGGACACCAGATTCCACACTGTGTATTTGTATTTAGGTTTAAGAATTCAGAAATAAAATTACAAAGTGGAATGAATTTCAACATGGTTTGGGAATTTTTTTCTTGAGCTAAAAAACATGGAAATGTTGCCCAGGCATTTAGCAAGGAGGTAACAAGGGTCTATTATCAAGATATATGGGTTAATAATTTCATTGGGGTTACTCAAGAATGATCTGCTATGATTGAAACCATGTGTGGAGAGTTTGGGCTTCTGGGATGTGCAGCAGCAACAAGGCTCTAAAGATGTATTTGTGGGGCCGGCCGTGGACACAGATGCACTTCCCAGACACAAACAGTGCACCTCCGCAAGCCATCGGGGAGAGATGGGGAGAGCTTACCACGTTGTACAGGCCGATGCACCAACGTTCAAATAAAATCTGCCCGGAAAATCCATTTACGAAGGCGAACCAAAGCTGAAAGAGAAGGAAGTTCATGAAGTTTTAGATCAGTGTTGACCTAAATGTTTCCATCCGTGAAAGGAGTGGCAGGACGTGGACCACCAGCTGGACGCAGCCGCTGAGGAGAGAGCCCGAGGGCCACAGCAGTTGTTCTCTCATAAAGCCCAGATTCCTAGCATCACAAACACCGACATTTTAAGGAAAATTTATATGTAAGGCCCATATCAATTTTAAGCGGCTGCCTGCACATATTTACAGAGAAGCCGTTTGTGCTTAATTCACATCTAATATGTTTTGTGTCAACACTTTCTCACTGACTGGAAGGGTCTCCGTTTTATGTTCTTTTTCCCATAAAGTTGACTCAATAAATATGACTTATCTTTGTAGGACTTACAAATAGATTTTAAAAAAATAAAATAAAAAAACCACAGAAACACCTCTGTTGGTCCCATGTGTTTTTAGCTAACAAAATGCTGACCATCCTTCATCAAATGTCCACCAACTTGGCAAAGGGCAAAACACAACAATATGAAAGAAACACACTCAGATCATCTTTAGCAGTAACATGGGATGTAAAAATTAATAAATTGCAGATGATTCATGCCCTCAAGTGACCCTAATTCTAACTGATTAGGCAAGACTGACATAAAAACAAGTCCAGAGCAAAGGGCCAGGGACACGCATGACAAGGAAAAAAATTATTTTAGAGATGGAGCCATCCCCCGGACATAATTCGGAGAAGAACTGGAGTGGGTGAGAGGGAAGCGGGAGAGGGCAGAGCATCAGGAAGACAGACGGAAACCTGACTTAGGAAGAAGCAAATATGGAAACAGTTCATTTCTACAGAGAAAAATATTAATAAAGTTGAACAAAAATAAAGAATAGTATATAATATTTTAAACATCTATGAAGACAAAGGCCTAATTTCCTCACAAATTCTTTACAAATGAGAAAGAAAATGTCCAACAAATGGTCAGGAAAACAGGCAAGAAGCAAAACAACGTGTGAGTGTAGGAGACCTCACTTATTAGGAAACACACACACACACATGCGCGCGTGCACACGCACACATACACAGGGACACCACTTTCTACCCAACAGGTGCCAAGGATTTAAAAGCTTGGTAACCTGAGGGATGGCTACCTTCATACCCCGATGGTAATAGCACTGGCCACAAATATGTTTAATACACTTTTCCTTTGACCCAGAAATTCCACTTGTAGGAACGTATTCTGTATCTTACAGCTAATCACACAGTATTCAACATGAAAATACGAGGAAGCTACCATGTGTTACTTGGAAGGATGAGAAGTGACCACGCATACACTGGTAGCTGGTTACACGCATACGGTCCACCACAGCAACGAGGCACTATGCAGACATTAAAGAGCGACCCAGATCTGTGGGCACAGTAACACAACCCCACGGACACATTCTCACAAAGACAAACATCAAGCTGGATGCTCATGGTCATGACTGTCGAGCAGGTGTGTGCACTTGGATATGCGCAGCAACTTTCCGGAAGACACGTAAGAAATGGTTACTGTTCATTATTCCGAGGCAGCAGATGTGCTCTCCGGGGGTAGCACAGAGACTCACTTCTACCTCGTAATTCTGCCAACCTTTAAAACATGTTCATGCTTTATTTAGACAAGGGTTTCAAGCAGTCATTCTCAACCAGGGTTGACTTTTGCCTCTGAGACACTTGACAACGCCTGGAAACCGTTTGGGGGGTTGTTGGTGTCTAGAAGGGAGAAGCCAAAGAGCCCTACGATGCCCAGGAGAGCTCCTGACAGCAGAGAATCATCTGGTCCGAAATGTCACCAGTGCCGCTACTGAGAAACCCTGGACCAAAGGAAGAAATTCATTACGTCAACCTGATAAAACTTAGAACGTTGCAGTGTTCGTTATATGCAAAGTCACGCCATGCTGACAGACCGCAGGAAGCCGTGGCAGTTTGTGTGAACGGGGTGGGGTTCAGAAACCTTCACTTCTTTTTGAGGAACTCCCCTCTGGCCGGACTCCACTTGGGGAACCACAGGCCTGACTCTACGGGGGCCGTAGTAGCACCAGAAGTGAATCCAGAACTTGACAAAATTAGATCCCCAAACCGGAAATATGTCTTCATAAATTATTCATGAGGAATCACTTTAAAGACTGAGAGTGAATTTCATGTCACTTTGACATTCAAGCTGTTGAAAAATGCACAGTAAGGAGGGAAAAATCCTACGAAGTCAAGCATCTCGTTCTCAGCATTAACCTTTCTCCAAGCAGCCTCGTCACATCGCAGACCTCAGTCTTCCCTGCAGTCACATCCCTGATCAGCTGGTGTTGGGACATTTCCCCTCAGCAGCCAGTGTTCTCATTTTCTCCAAGTTGGCCCTGGCTGGACCCCATGTTTCTTCAAAGATTTTTGATATGTTTGTACTAATTTTTATCAGGTGCAGGTGTTGTAACTTCTTGAAAAGCATAAACAAGCTTATTTTCAACATTTCTAATTCAATTTCAATCTTCATTCAAATAGTCTATCATTAGATAATCAGACCTGTTATTTCATTGGAAATATTTGTTTGGGAGAGAAAAAAAGTTTTTAAACCAAAACACACAAAACAAACAAAATCCATCTCCTAATTTCAAAATCCACGGGCTGGTTTTCTTTTACATTGTAAACACTCAGATTTGATTCTATTTTGGCAAGATCTCCATAGGTGAAATGGAAAAAGTATGAGAACACACTGCTTTTCAAAATATTTATATAAACGTTCTTCTTTTTTACTTTATTTATTCTCGAGACAGGTACACGATGGCTTCCTGACACACTATAAAATCAGGCTTTCACACGGGTTAGTCATATACAAATGTGAATTCATATACAAAAAAGAAGGCCCTGCCCGGTTCGTAAACATTCATGGCGTTTTCGGAGGGTCACCACTCCGAGCTTACAGCCCTTGGTGCAGACAGGCGCCTGCACCCTCTGCTGTGCGGTTTCTTGGGCCGGGCCTTGCTTACAGCCACTGGACTTTACTCCTCTGGACTAAGGGGGCAAAGATCCCTCTGCCTTTACCTCCCTGTTAACTGGAGACGCTATTAGACGGATGCAGGCAAAGCCGAGAGCCAGGCTCTACCGGACGGCCGCAGACATGCTGGTCTGGATGAAGGGCGGCCAGCGCTGACGGCTTGCCAAGCCCCCGGGGTTTCTGGTGCTCAAATGTAGTGCTGTTTTGAGCAAACGGACCCGCACATATTAAATGGCTTTTCCTTCTTGGAAAAAGATCTTTCTTTGCTTTAACTGCTGCCTCGCTGCCAAAAATTCAGTAACCGTCCTGGCTAATTGCACAGGCTCCCGCCTCGAGGTTCAGCTGCCCCGCACGCCGTACCTCCAGCCGCTCAGGTCCTCAGCTGCCAGTTCACATGCCTGGGTGATGGCTTCATCAGGGACAGGGGGACCTGCTCCCCGCTTTCCTCTGCTCTCCCAAGACCCAGGGCAGACGACTGCAGTGGGAAGGTACCCCACAGAGGATAATTAAATAACCAGCTATCTGGCTTCCCACTAAAGTAGCAGCAACAGCCGGATCTACTGATGCGACAGTCGGGTCTACGCTGAGTAACCGGCATTAAAGCTACGTGTTCAGCTCTTGTATATATTTCCCTGTGCTACACAGTATAATCTTGTCGATCTATTCTACACATGCCTGTCACTATCTACAAAGTTTGAACTCCCAGTCTATCCCTTCACGGCCCCCCTTGGCAACTAGAGTCAGAGCGCTACGATCTATCCAGAATTTGATCTGGCAGTATGGAGTAGGGTAAGAAATTAGCACACGTGTCACTGAGAAATTCTATTTTTAGAAATTCAGTTCTGAGAAATAAAAGCACCTGTATATAAAAACGTATCTTGTGGGGGAGGGTACAGCTCCGTGGTGGCACGCAGGCTTAGCATGCACAAGGTCCTGGGTTCAATCCCCAGCACCTCCCTTTCAATAAATAAACAAACCGAATAACCACCCCCCCAAAAAACATATTTTTTTGCAGTTTTGTTATCAGTGAAAACAAAACAAAACAAAAAGCATAGGGGAAAACAGGGTTCAGGTTCCTTATTAGACGGAGAATCAGCAAGTCTGTGTTTTCAAATGCAAAATCTACATGGATGTAAATGAAGGCATAAGTGCCAAAGAACCAGTATGAGGCTGACAGAAGAAAAGGCAAAATGAACAGGTAGGTCGGTTGGCAGGTTGATAGGAAATCAAGGGGTAAAAAATCAGGGAAGCGATTATAGAGCAAGGGCTATCAGAAATAAAACCAGCAACAGTAATAATCGTCACAATAGTAGGAGAAAGATACCCTAGGAACTTTCCCCGCAAGTGTGTTTCATCCAGTAAACAAGGGCCTGAATGGCCAGAATTAAATGAAGACTGCTGCAACAAAGGGGCTGTTCCATCCCCGGGAGGTTTCAAGTTTTCTCTTTCTGGGTCGGTCCTGGACTGGCTCAGTGCTAGGAGCCAACGCCGCACACTCACAAAACTTCTAAAGGTTTCTCAAGGCAAGCAGACAAGAACCAGTTACAGAGTAATGTGTATAGAATCCATTTTTGGTGAAACTACAACAAAAATGCTACATGTTTAAGTATTTCTAGGACTACAAAGAAAGGAACAGAAGGTACTGACTATTAGCACAGAAATAAAGACAGACGAAGGAAAGCTGTTTCTCCTTTATACATTGCTAGTACATAACGAATGAGCATTCCTTTCAAGAACTATACAGAAAAGACCTGGTTACTGTCTGTCGCTCCACCACGTTCATTTCTCTCCTGTAATCTCTGTTCCCTTGTTACCTGTCTACCCCATCGCCTGTAAACTGCACCAGCCAGCTCCACTCCCTGAATGGCCACGTGATCAGGGCAGCTTCCTTAATCCCCCAAGCTGCTGCTGCTGCTTTTTTTTTTAAAGAACAAATGGGGGGAAAAAAAAAACCAAAACACGGCAGAACTGCTGTTGTTTTCGATGATAACTACAAAA